GAGAGATTTCTGGATTGAATCTGGAGTCTCATCTCTCCCTTCTGTCTCTAAAGTCTGAGATCCAGTAGTGTCTCCATCTACTGTGCACAGTCAGGCCACACAAACAGCCCTTCGAGATGTGTGTACTTCAAGGGATAGAACATACCGTAAGCACAGGACTCATTAATCACTAACTGGGTAGATGGATCATGGCCACTGCCGAAGTATTTTACGAACACTACAACCTCCACCCTTTCCTGGTCATGCGGGCAAGATGCTGTGGATACAGCGCAGCTCATGTGGATCCTATTTTCCCTGAATGGGAATGCTGGGCTATTACCATGTGCCTTGTTCCCGGAAAAGAATGTCAGTCACTTCACTAGAGGGTGGATCTATTACTGGACTTAAAGGTGTGCTGGTTTGGCAAATAAATGGTGAGCTGCCATATCAACCTATCCTTGTTGGAGAAGGTTAGGGCTTAGTGACGTAACAAGATGTAATAGAAGAGCAGAGATGTGGGCACTTCGCCAATAGGTAATGACTGGATTTCTTCTTAGGCAACCAGTGTTATGATGACAACCTGGCGTTTTTAGCGCTTTTTATAATATCGCTCTTGAACTTTACACTCAAGATTAACTTCACCCTAGTCCTTTCTTCCTTTGCCATTAACAGTAGTTGTCAATAGAGTTTGTATTTTAAAAGGCAAATACCTTATGGCCTGGAACCTCTGTCCCTGGTACAGCCGCTTTCATGTGAAAATTGTCCACTCCAACTTTCTTCAGAGAGTCGAGAAAAGGAGGTCTGCGTTCAGTCTTTGGAGTTTGCTTCTTTTGGGCTGCCTGCTGCCTTTCTTGAGCCAATCTGTGACAACATCCCAGGAATAATTACAGTTAAATCCAGAACTGCTTAAAAAATGGAGAAAAATGCCCCAAAATACAAAATATCCCATTTAATCACTTTTGCATATCAGCCATTAACACCTTATAATGGGTATAATCTAAGCAAAATAATACAATAACCCAAATGTGAAGTATGGCTTCATTTGCCTTTTTCTTAAGACTGTCTTAAAACAGTTTTCACAAGGCTTACTTGTGTAAGAAGCTTTCTTTGGCCAATTCAATTTGTAGAGTTCCACCTTTCCATTTTGTTTTGTTCAATAAGGACATACCTACAGGAAAAAAAAAGAAAAATAATTAATAAATACCACAGCTGTCAGGTTATTAGCATATTAGGAATGAATATACTGGAATCCACATGGATATTAATGTGTAAAGGCAGATCTCTGTAGTACTCAATCTGTTGTATTCATCGGCTTATATAGCATAACACAGCATGATCTAGACAGAGCTCCCTGAGCAAATGATTTTGTTTTCAGTTTTTTTTAATTATCTCTCACTGGCAACGTGCTGTTTATATGTGCAATTAATTTGTCTTCACATGCCTATGGTAAATACCAATCTATGCTTTGGAAGTTCTGAACTTTTGAATATTTACAGCATAACCCTACCACAGGTTTAGGGAAAATACTTACATTTGCTGAGTTCTTTTTCTGAAATTGTAATGTTGAGATATCCAAAGGTCTTTACAGGTGTTCCTTAAAAATGAAAGGCATAAGATAAAGTTTAGAAAGGAAATTTACAATCTTAAACTAACCATTTTTCTTTAGTTTCTCAAATTCCTTAAGATAAGATCACTGTATTGGCTATATACAATTTCTTGTATCAGGAATTTGTCTTTTCGCATACCCCAGCTTGCTCTCCATGAGACACACAGACAGGGAGAGAACCTTGGAGCCAGAGCGCAGGGTCAGCCATTACGCCACACCAGGTACAGTTGGGGTTAAGGGCCTTGTTCAGGGGCCCAACAGAGTAGGATTCCTCTGCCGGCTGTGGGATTTGAACCGGCAACCTTACAGCCACAGGCGCAGATCCTTTTTTGACTGGAATGATGAATTTGTGAGTGTGCAAACTGTTTTAATGCCAGCAAATATGTATCAGATGTGTTTAATTTACTTGAAGACGTTTTTTTAATCATTAAAAAGGAATTCTTTAGTTTATTAAAGGCGAGTAAAGGGTAACGGAACATGTCTGCGTCTATCATTTAACATAAGAGCAGTTTTCATTGTATCAATATTAATTTGGAAATTATCACAAAGTGAATGACAACCTAGATGTAAAGCCAGTTTACATATAGAGCAAAAAGAAAGAGTTTTGCTACTCAGTTGGTCACCTAAGCATAAGAATTCCATGTGACAGCACTTCCCGAGAAACACGTAAACAGTGGAAGTAAAAATTATATACTGAAGACATTCCTTAAAAGCTAATGTGTAAGGTGCTTTTACCTTCTTCATCTTTCCTTGTTACAATATCCACATCCAACACATCACCAAACTTTCCGAACCTTTGCTTCAACTCCGACTGAGAAATAGTATGGTTTAAGCCACCCACATACAAACGCCTCATAACTTTGCCTTGATCCATTGTTGAATTTTACTAGCCTCGTTTTAAAAATGAATGGTCTGCTTCGACGATTCTGTAAAAAAGAAGGCATACTTCAGCTTGCTGCATTAACAACTAGCACTGAAACAACTGAAATAAGCTTCATATAACTGTTCTAAATAAAAACGTAACTTCAGAAAGTTCATGTACACGGTTTTGCATTCCTTAAAATTAAATGACAAACTTTCATTCCTGTATATGAAAATTAACTCAAAAATTATAAATAAATTGATTGAACAAGTTTATTTTACACTGCAAAACCCGTTACAGTAATTTGTAAATACTTGCCAACAAGCAATCGTGTTAAAATGTTAAAATTCATTTGATTCCTAAACTTGACAGTTAGGCTAACAATGAAAATAATTTTTAAACCAACCAACCAGTAAGATCGCAAATTAAAAATTAAAAGAGATACCTCTCAAAAATACCGTACAGCAAATTTTACTCATTTTTGTCAATGAAACTGGTCACACATGTCCACTAAGGATCCACATTGTGTTCACGAAAAATCCTTCCCTCTCAGTTTAGAGAAGAGAATATAGAGTTCCGCTGTTGTAATAATTAGGTTTATAGGCAAACATTACTGGATAATTCCCTGAGATATTATTATTATTATTATGAAAATTATAATTTTCTAATGTTCAATTCCGTAATGGGGTGTAGCATAAAAGTAAATAATTATGTCGTAAAAATACTTCATAATAATGATAGAAACTTCGAGCAGGCAAGGCTCACGATGTTCCACTAAACGGGAGAGCTGAGCTCAGGTTTAGTTATCGTTCGGTGCTGCGTTTGATCTTTTAATGTCAATTAACAATATATAACGAATCAAACTGTAACAAAATATCGTACGCCTCTTTTTAAAAAAAAACACGGGGTCCTCTATGTTCAGAAAAAGATGAATTGATTTGGTAGCACCCCCCCCTGAATTTGTTGGTGAGTCGAAAGTGGTAGAATCTACTTCTGGCGCGAGCTGTCAATTGTTTTGAAAAGAAGAGAGAAGCTCCGGTGTTTGTCTGGTATGTGTCTATATTAATTCGTGCTAGGTTTTACCCTTATCGTGTGCTAAGGTAGTTTTTTCCCCCCTTTTTTCATCTTAGAAATAGAGTGGAAATAAACTGCACGGAAACGTCGCATTTGATGGCCAGGTCAATTGCAATGCAACCCAGGTGCGGTGCAACCAGTGACATACAAAACAGAAAAACAAAATAGCACGGGGAACGGATACATAGTACGTCCTGTAGATTTGCTCTAGCTGCTGGTAATGCCATTGCAGTACTTGGAAAAGAAACTTAACTCCCATCCGCTTGTCTGTCTCCTGCATTTTTTCATTTTCGTGAAAACGTAACGCATCATTTCAGTTATCGTGTTCAAGTTGTACGTTCAACGTATCCTTGTAATGTGGTCATTTTTTTATTACGATTCGCAGCAGCGGTCTTTTTAGCCAGTGATTTAAAAAAAAGCACAGTGTTTGCTCTGAATATTAGTATAATCTGAATATTTTGTGGACAATATAAAGTGTATCAACGTGATTTGTTACCCACTTTAAAGGTAATCACTGTTTTGTAGCGCAGTAAACGTGATGCACATAAAACTGCTTAAGAAAGAAATAAAAAAGTAGTGTGTGTCTATTGATGAATAAAATTGGAAAGACTACATTTCTTCCATTCAGATCTGCAGAAAATCGCCAGTTGTTCTTTCCTAGGTATCGGCTGCAGCAAAATGCTTGATTTTGACTTCCTCAACCATCTGTACTTCTGTAATGTGGGATTATTGCACTTTTACAGGGCACTCTGAAGGACAACAATGGAAAATGATCCTGAGCAAAACTACGAAGCTGAAATCAAATGTCTAGAAGAAGAAATTGCTATGTTACAGGAGCAACAGGAAAGCAACGAAAGAGAATTTGCGTTACGCCTCAGAGGAAACATTACAAAAGCTTTGTAGGTTCCTGAACTAAATCACGTCTTACTACAATACTGTGTACTCTCAGTGGATTCAGTTCCTGTGGCGCCTTTCCATAAAACAGTGATTTTATTAAAGTCTTTGGAATTGCTTTTCTACAATGATGTAGCTAGTTAGGAAAATATTTTTAAAACTGAAATTATTAATCATTTTTACCGTGCGAATATGATCAAATCCTGCAGTACAAAGTATAGTATTTGGATTTTTATCACAATTGCATTCCTCTTTTCTTATTTAATGAATTTCCTCTCTTGCATGTGTTCTTCTATTGGAGTTTTGGCGTTTATTTATGAAGTTATTTGGATCTCAATGGTTGGTCACATTTGTAAATTACAACATACAGTAGTCCTGAATAACATATTTACTGTGCTGATTCCAGAGGGTCCATGAAAGATAACAGAGACGAGAGACAAGGGGAAAAGAAACCTGAGGCAATTGCAAATCTGAAGGATGAGCTTGAGGGTCTGGAAGAGGACCTTATGCGCCAGTCCAGAATAAACCGTCTTGTGCTGACTGAGTGTGCAATGAAGATACTGGAAAAAAGTGAGCAGATCGCTATATAATTAGAGAAACAAAAACTCCAAAAACATAATTAACATAATTGGACTTTGAGAAATATAGATACTGTATTATTAGATTGTATGATTAGTATTTTTAGACCAGTCCAGGGCTAAGAAATCTGAATATCTGCTTTGAAAAACAGTTGAGGAAAATAAGTTTATCACTATCAGTAATATAAGTGGTATTTATTTAAATCAGATTTATATCTGACACGTATGTTGCATATACTGTACATTCACACTGTGTTTACTAACAGTATATTATGATGGAGTTCCTATGCTTTTGTTTTTGTTACTCCATAGGTGAGAAGAAAGTTATACAGCAGTACAGAATTTCAGGTCATTGCAGTGTCTTGGCTTTTCAAGTTGAATTTGTGCTGACAGATGTTCAGGTAAGAAAATCCTCCTTGATCCTCTTTATAATACCTCTTAATGTTAATAATAATAATAATAATAATAATAACAACATCACTTTATTAACCCTTTACAATTTCTTGCATTAGGAATTGTCTTTTCACATACCCCAGCTTGCTCTCCATGAGACACACAGACAGGGAGAGAAGCTTGGGGTCAGAGCGCAGGGTCAGCCATTGTGCGGCGCCCCTGGAGCAGTTGAGCAGTTAACCACAGCTCTCTTCAGTAGTGTTGAACAATTAAGAGCGATTAGTGTCCTGTTCTCATGTGGCATTGTCTAACTAATTAAACAGGCCTTGTGTACTAGATGAAACGCATTCCAGTTTAGAACTCGCAAGAAAAATCATTTCTGTGCCTGCTTTTTTTTTTGCAAAATGATAAACGTGATGCAGAATGTTTCTGATATGTTCTGAAACAAAATGTTAGAATTTAATTTTTTTTCCAATGTTTTTACAGGAAACAAAATGCCTGACATTTGTAGAAAGCTGAGCATTTACTTCTCTGATATCAAATGAAACTCACAGTAATGAGACATTACTTTCTTTAATTTTAATGTCTTGCAAATGCACTTTTGATGACTAAACTCCAGATGGCAGCAAATATCCAACCAATTTTGATATAGACTACTAGACAATGCCTATTGGCTCTTCAAACCTGTACGTATGTTTGTAATAAAAACATCTAATATTTCATGCAGAAGGGAGCAATATATAAATCTAATGTCAAACATTTTTTCTCCCTTTTCCATGACACAAAATAACTTCCAGTGCAAGGTTTCAGCACTTATGTTTTCTTAAGAAAAAGAGATTGTTTAATTCATGTTTTTAGTATGTCTAAACATCAGATGTTTTTTCTGACTGCCATCTTCTATAGTTTCGATAATTCTCTAATGAAACTGTTACCCATTAGTCTTTTGTTAAAATACACAATGTGCTATCATATTCAATACGTTGTTTTGTGCAATAAAATAAACTCACATGTGAGTCTCAGGTCAATATTGTCATTATAATAGATCATTCAAAAATAGATGTTTTCTTTACACGCTGTTCATTTTACATTTAACAGGATGCCACTAGCAGTAGAATCGTTACTGGTCTCAGCATTGTCATGGATGGCAGTGAGTTTAATGATATGAGTGCATTTATTTCCAGGTGAGTTACAAAAATCAAACTAAACCTTGCTTACTAAAAAGATCATTAGAAAGACTAATGTTAGAGTAGAAATGGGATCTTGGTTTCCTAAATACAAAACAGAATACTGATTCTCCAGTTTTAGGAGGCCTGGAAATCTGAAATTGTGCATTGTGGCTGCAAATTGTTATGTTTTTCTTGGCCGTATTGCATATATGCGTATTCTTTTAACTCATTTCTAGAAACGAGCAAGAATAAGCTTATGAGCCATACTTTCTGGAATTTGGAAGCATTGAGTGTAAGACCTTGAAATGTCTGGTTTGAGATTTGGGTTAGATTTGGTCTTTTTTAATAAAGATTTGGCATTTAAAGATTACGGCATTTGTAAAGAGAAAGTAACTATTTTTGTGAGCCCTTGGTGTTTTTTTACATTTTTTTTGTAACTGAAAGAATTGAGATAAAACGGAAAAAAATAAGGTTGAAAATGGTATTATTATATTTATTTTTTCATTTGTAGATTTGAAACTGAAAGTTTTTTTAAAGAATTAAACAGTCTCTATTTTCAAAATTCTGTCACTGCAGTATTTACTCATTATAATCATATAGAAGTGAAAGAAAATTGACTACTTTATTATTGTAGAAAATGTTCACGTCTCATCTTTTCAAAAATACTGTACTTCTGGTAAAGTGAGTTTAAAAGTTTAGATTTGCATTCCTTAATGCTGTTCTTTTTCACACTGGAAAATGGTGGAATTGTGGAAAAAAGTTGTAGTTTTCGTGTTGCTTTTATTGCATACAAAGGCGAGTCTTAAATCAAATGCTAATAAGGAGCAACAGAGTCACATTTCAGAGTTATGGTTATTGGTGAAGCTGGTCAATGTTTAAATGTTCTTTTTACTATAGAAATTATTTAAAATGTCAACAACTGGCAGTCCAAGCATAAAATCATCCATATGGCCTGTCTGGGGCTCAGGGAACTACATTCTCGAGTTCTTCATTGCTGGAAAGAAGAGAAAAACAACTTCCTATCCTGCAGACTCCCACTGAAGACTGTATAATGAAACCCATTGTTTTCGTGCCACTGGGACTGACTGAAAAAAATAATCCATTAAGACACATCTAGTAGTGCTGGCTCTTTCAGCAGTGTAAGGTTTCATAAATTCACATTTGAGAATTTATTTTCCTTTTTACATATCTCATTAGTTTAATTTCCTATAATTTCAATACACAATTGTATTTATTACTGTATTGAGGTTTTTAAAGTTAATGGGTGATTGAGTTAAACTGCATATAGCAAGTGGACACAGTTTTAGTTTTTAGCAACTTGGACTATTTTAGATGATGAAACAGACCTAATAGTTATGTTGTTTTTATGATGGGGCTATGTGTCAAACAGGCTGTTAGTAATACTGATTTCTCACTTGCAAGTCAAAGTACTTATTCCTGTTAATAATACATCATTTAAAAATAGGTGTGCTTCAATTGTTTTTGGAACTATTAAGTCTGTTTGGAACCTTTGAACATCTGATGCCTCAGAAATAAAGATGATGAGGCCTATGAGCAAGTCTTTCAGAAATTAACCTTTTTATTGCCTTAGTTTCATAACCAGATTGTTTTGGAAAAAGAATCCTTGAGCTTCGTTTTTATGTAACTCACTTGCAGCCCCTGAAACACATCTGGATTATATTGTCTGGTCTGAGTCTTTATCCTGGCACATATGAAAGGGAAAAATACTGGAGATAATGATTCTTACACAATCTTGGGTAGTCACGGTGTATTTTTATGCCTGGTCAAGGAAAATAGTTTTAAAATTCAAAATAGGCTTAATGATTTTAAACGCAGTTCTAATGATGATGTCCACTTGTTTAAGTGGCCTTGAGACATCTATCACCTGATCTCTTCCCATAATTATAGTAAATGCCCCAGTATTATTTCAAAAATAGTGTTTTATAAATATGTTAAATTCCTGAAGTTATATTTCCCTCTTACAATTCATTCTCACTGTTCTCTAGCAGCAGTTGAAGTGGGCTGCAGTTCTGTAGTATTGTGGGGGTTTTTTTCTTGGGTTTGGAAGCAGTTATTCTTTTGATTATATACTCACCCAGTTGTTTAACACAACATAAGATTATAAATGAGAGGAGGTCATTTGGAAGCCTGTAGGAGAGTTAGTTCTGATTGGAGGACTGACACTTCTCTCCATGATGTCACTGCAGGAGCTGCTGTTTCACCAAAAGGTGAAAGGACTCCTAGCCGATAAAAGCCCCTGCCTACCCTGTCAGTAACTGGCTAGTGGCAAGAGCCAGACTTGAGCTGTCAGTCGGGTTTAAACTTTTTGAGGGTTGTGATGTTTTTTTCCTTCTCATTTTAAACGTTCTGATTTGGGACAACCACCTCTGGGATTATGGCGCTACCTTGAGCTTCCTAAATGTTTAGCAGATGAAGAATTCAGGATCTTGGACCTTCAGTTCATGGTGGTTCACAGGCTCTGATGCAGTTCTTTTATATCCTGACGAAGCAGGTTTCAGATTCTTTGCGGTTTATTGTGAACAGCGACATTCCTTGTTCTCACCTGTTATCTCTGTTAGGTGACAACTCAGCAGCAGCAAACATAGACCAGGTTGAAAGGAGTAACTGCAGGTAAATTACTGATGGATCTGTATTGTGAGCCTCAAATTCCCCCCACCTTTCGTTATGGGATCCTGACCAGTCTTGATAATATTTTCATGGAAAAGGAACTCTTTTGCTTGGATTCATGGTGCTGTTAGTTTGACAGTGAAGGACTGACATACTGTTGATGGCATAGTCAAGGCCTTGTTGAAGGGACTTTCTGATGTGTTTTATTGTCCGACTTTATTTTGGACCTTAAGATTAATCAAATAGAGAACGCACTTGGTGGGGATACAGAGTCATAGTTCAGTTCTACAATTGCATAAAGAATGTAAGAATTGTTGCCTTTTTTCACATGTTGATAACATTAATATTTGAACTAAAAAATGTGCAGATCACTATATACAGTATTGTGTGGTGGATTTTCATTTTGCTATCTATGATTCAATGTGCAGACACAACCATTTCCTGACTATGAAAAATTCATCTCCATTCTGTGCCATCAGTAAAATGATATGGAAAGATCTCGAATGTCAATTCTATTATCACACTTCATTTAGTTTCACATAACACAATTGTTTAGAGTTATTCGGGTTGTTCGATTTTCATATATAACATGTTAGGAATTGTTTTTGTTTATGACCTTTTGTTTTGCAGGTGTATTACGGCATGTTCCATAATTTGCAACATATAATAATTTAAAGGGGAACTGCAGTCCCAATTTCTCAGACCGGTTATTAAATTTTGGTAGCAAAGCAAATTCATTGAAGGTATAGAAAAAAATGACGCATTCTGAATTAAGCTTAAATCTGTTAATTTGGTGAAACTGCTGTGGGACTCCATGTCGCAAATCCCTGGTCTCACCACGGGCGAGAGCAAGAGTTCTCACGAACTGTGACGTGATTCTGCTCGTCTTCTTCACTTGTCACTATAATAACTAATCTAATGCGACGTATGAGTGAATACGTATGGTCTGTTCAGGAGATATTTCAGTGCAGAATGTTTCCAACATGATCAGCATCCAGAGTTAATAAGTCAGTCCCATTTATCGGCAAAACTGTCTTGAAGTCGAGAGCAATATTTCTATTGGAATGAAAGAGATGTATTCACAAGTCGGCTTGTTTACAAAGTCACAGGGCCGGACGTTTTCTTGTCTCTCTCTGAATCACAGAATATGGTTCTGGAAATTTAGTCTGTTTTATGATGTAAATGTGAGGTTTTACAAGTTACTGTGTACATTTTATTGTTATTGTGGTTTGAAATGCAGTCATATACAGTGTGCTGATTCTTTCTAATCCTGAAATTAAAAATAGCCTTGCCGCCTTGCAGTAGCCCCTTTAAATTCATATGTAAATGAAAAAAAGAGACTTCTGTGGTACCTGCGTATGGACTCAAGTTCTTCAAAAAGAATTGTCGTCTCTGTATTTGAGGTTTTTTTTTTTCAAATCGGAATTGCAGTCCGCATCAAGGCTTGGCATCCGTGCGGACAGAATGAGGACCTGAAGACAGGCTGCCCTGACATGCCTACCTTTTGGAGTCATTCGTCCTTTGGCACAGTGCAGGCTCCACAGTGCCCAACTGGAGAGTTAGTGCCAGTGCAAGTTGGGCCAAGAAGACCACGGTAGACTAACGCCCCTTCCACCCTGGGTACACTCTTCCAGCTGTGCAGAGCCTTGTTCACCATGGGCTGGTGACATGACCCAGGCTCGAACTTGTGATGTGTGGGTCATAGAGCACAGCCTATGGTCTTAAAGTTGTAATGAAACTCCCAATAATCTCAGACCTGATCGTTTCTACTGATCAGTTAGTGCTTCCCTCATGTTGTAAAAGAGGACTTTGCCAGTGAATTATATTTAGAAAATAAATGTATTGATCAGATTTTGTCCTTTTTTTTTAGAGTGGAGGATGACAACAGCCTTTTACTTTTCTTCAGGACCCTAAGACAGTTCTCAGAATGGTGCGAGCACAGAAAAAAAACATTTTTATACTTCAAGGTAAGGTTTAATTTCCAAATGCATTTTCAACACACGCTATGTGGGAATATAACATTTAAAATAGCAAAAATCACTTCATATACATATGTTTTCAAGCAGAAGCAAATGTTTTTTTTGTTTTACAGAAGGAATAGATTTAAAGATTTATAGATCTGTTGTTAGTTATGCTCTTTACATGCAAACATGCAAATTATTTATTTGACAGATGTTGCTTTGACATAAATGTAAGGAAGGAGAGATTAGATACTGGATATATCAGTTGATTGGTCTTGGAAAGTCTCAAAAGCTCTTCTTGCCATTTGAATATTTTGTGGATTTCTGCAAACTGTTATTGATTCTGACACTTCATCTCAGGGAACAAAGCTGATCTTTTTTTCTGAAGCGAATGTTTTGGTTTATAGGGCAATAGTGTGGGATACATTGCATTCTTACTAGTATGAAATGGATATGCTCATCAGCTGGAATTCATTTTTTCTACTGTATGTGTTACTAGAAGTTTATCTCTGAAGTTTATGATATTTTTTACACTTGTTTTTTGTGTAATTAATCACAAGCAAAACTTAAATTGAGTATTTTTTATTGATCTAAATTAAGTTTTCTCCATGCATCCAAAATCTGTTTTACAACACGTTTTTTTCTGTATAGTTCATATTTTGTCACATAATCTCTAACAACCATTCACTAGGAGAATGTTAGAAACTTTAAAATGTTTTAAGATGAATTTCTATGAAGATAACCATGATGCAGTGAATTCAGTTTTCTCACTGAGATAGCCGGTACCAGGGCAGTCACCAGTTGATGCAGGCCTTTAGATTTAAAACTGAAACCCACTCGTCAGTTGTTTTTGTTTGATACTGGCTCTGTTGTAGATATATGAAGCCCTTGTCAGACAGTAAGCAGCTAACCATGATACTACTGTAACTCGTAATGGGTCATGGGTGAAACTTATATGATCTGGTTCATAGTTTCCAAAATCTGTTGCATAGCAGAGTTAGAAGTAAACACCAGAGAAATCCATCAGTTAATATTCTATAAACTGGTTATGTGATTACTCACCATGTAATACTGCCACACTGCTTTGATCAGACTAGAAGTATAAAAAAATCTGAATTCACCATCTGGGAACTGGCTATTTCACATAACATTTACTTTAAAACAGGACATACACATTTGCCCTGTGTTTCATAATGTTGGTTTGGCTGCTATTGGCAAAAGATATATATAAAAAATTCGCAGATGGTTTAATGGAGTCACATATTTCAGTCCTCTTGACTGACCTTTTGAGGAAAGTTAGGGATCACATTAGCAGTAAGTTCATAGAAGTTGTTTTTGTAAGCTATATAGTGTTCTGACCAAAACCTGTTAAAGTCCATTATCCATCTGGTATGTGAGTCTAGACAAACACTCATGGAGACATGGCTGTCCATATCTCCGCTAATCATTTATAAATTGGTTGCATTTCTTCAGATGCAAATATTTATCATTTTTGTGAATAATACAACTTGTTTTTAGACTTTGTTTTCAGTTTGATTTGTGGCACTTGGAAAGTAAAGTGAAGGCCGTTGACCTAGCCAAACACTAAAGGAACAGGGAAACACAATTCATTTCAAAGTTTGAATGCCAGATCTTATAAAAGTCATAGAATTCTTTCCGTTCCAGCACAATCTTGTAATATCTGAGTTCAGTGTAAATATTAGTTTTTTTTTATTTTGCAAGGCAATATTCAGTGTGAAGGTGGTATTTTAACTCTGCACTGTTTGATATTGAATGTCTCGTATATTTACAGCCTGATACTATATTTCAAGATGTCTTATGTGGTCTTTTATGTAAAAGTAAAGTAGATTCTATTCATTTTTCTTCAAAAACTATTTGTGGTAAATAAGTACACAGTGCGTTCAGAAAAGGGCATATATCTGTTAATCAGAGAAACTACGTGCCATTAGAAAGTGTCTCAAGTTTTTAATTTGTCGACATACGTCAGGCTTAAGCATCATGAAAAAGGCTTGACTCCTGGCACTACACAAAGACTAATAATGAAAAGGGACATGTAATATCTAGGTGGTTGCTATTGCCCTTTTTTACTCAATATCCTGTTAAATAGATAATTTTAGCATGCTTGTTTTTGTAATCATTAGTATAGCATTAATCATTTATTTTTTTGTACCTACTGTATATTGAGCATTATTGTGTAATTAAATATTAAACCTAAGACTACAATATGTATTGTATGCTTTTTAGAATATTCAAACTCGCCAAGATAAGGCTATTCATCAGTGAATTCAGAAGAAATTGTCATTAAAAGATAGAGGGTGACCTCCTAGTGTATAAAATTAAACTATCTAAAGCCTGGCTATCCATGTTACTGAAATCATATGTGTGCTAAAACGCGAAATATTGGGTTGTTGACTTAGATTTGACCCTAATCTAGCTTTTGGGGTGCGTGTCAATGACGTGCTGTTCTTTCATCTTAAGAACATTGGTCAGTTGTACTCTGTTCCTCTTCCTGAGAAACTAGTTGATAAGTTTGTGTTGTCCAGGATTGACTACAGCAGTGCACTTCCTGCCAGGTTGTCAAAGATCACCTGACAAACTCAGCAGCTAAGATCTGAGAATTTCTTGTTCTGGCAAACTTGTAGCACCTGTTTTGAATTCCTGTACCAGATTAATGCTGAATTCTGTATGCATTTCATGATATTAGTCTTGAATTTTAAGACCCTGAGAAGAATGTGCTCTCCTTATATATATTGTCCCTTGACTAATTACACCCCTAACAGTCCTCTCTCGTCCTCTCCTCTTGCTCATCTCCTCAACAAAACTGTGAACTATGAAACTATGAAATCAGTCTGTCTAGTTTCGTGTTTCGTCTTAGAACCTACTTGGATCTGCTTTCTATATTGATTCATTTGGTCTGATTCTAATACTTAATTTTTATTGTAGCACACTTTGAGATACTTTTCTGTACAAGCAGATTTATAGCATAATGTTTATTATCATTAGTGGAAATGTTGGTGTATTTCTCAGTAATTCTGGAGTCTTGCCTACATACATGTGAACATTGATTTGTTTTATGGTTTGTATTTAGGTTAAATAAATTCTTCCAAGTGCTTTGCCAGAAAACTTGACCTAGACATAAGGTTTAAAAATAAAGTCCAGAATACAATGCTTAAAACTTAATTTTGCAAGGAGACTGTGGGAAGGTTTTTTTGTGTTCAGTGCTTTTGTTTTTTTTTTTGTTGTTGTTGTTTTTTAAGTGCAGACAGCAACGTTAACACAGGATTGTACTTTGCAAGAGAACAAATGTGAACTATTTAGTCAAAACACATAAAGGTTATTAATGAGAAGAGACCATTCACTCCATCTTGCTCAGTGGGTTGCTTTCATTTATCAGTCCAAGGAGATTATCCAGATGCATATTAAAGAATCCCAGGGAGGACAGTGTGCTGCACAGTCCTTTCTATGAGAAAGTGCCTCTTGATTTCAGCCCAACATGCACCGCTAAAGCTTCCTAGTTTCCATTTGTGTCTTCAGGTCCTAGGATCATGATGGGTCTTGCAGTAGAAGTTCACATTATCAGTACCTCGCAGGATTTTAATTACTTGTGTCAGTAGGCCCCCTGTTATTTCCACCGTGGAGAACTAAAAATGTTTAGTATTTTTAAATTGATTTTGTCTGTCATCCTTTAAGACAACAGTGAACCCTGTTTCCCCTCTTTAAACTGATTACAGCGCAATAATGTCCTGTTTTATGACTTAGAAATCACAATTATACACAGTTCATCGTGTCTTTTATTCTAACGTACAGTGACGTTGTGATAATTGAACTGTATACTTTTCAAAATATAAAATGTAGAGCAGTTACATTGAACAGGTTGCACTAACCAAGCTTACATCTGGACATTCTTAAGGACAGGGTACAGTGATTATAGATGTTATTTGTTGTGATGTTTTGTTCATAAAGGAATGATTGCAGAAAGTTTGAATGACTGTATATTGTGTTTATTTCACATTTTGATCAGTACAGTTTAATGGATTTAAAAATACGTATGTTTTTTTATAAATGAGTTGAAAGAGTAGTTGTGCAGTCATTCACAGGAAAAAAGATTAAACTCAATGCTGATTATTTCCAACATTCTAGGCATGGTAATTTGTGTGCTCCATTTGATGGAGTTTAATAATAAGAATAAAAATTGGCTTAATCTGAAGATAGGAACATTCTGTCAAAGGATAGTAATGATATAAGGACAGTCAGACAATAAATGTAATGTGACCACAATTCTGTTATTTACTTGGATTATGTGCTGACTAGGTGCCAACTTGGAATTGGTCAAGGAATATTTGTTCATCCGTGTTAATTTTTGTGCTCCAGTTAAATATTTGAAAAATATTCTTAATTAAAAGACTGGGCGGACTTGATTCTCTGATGTTTTGTAATGCATAATGGAAGTGTTGTCTGTGATGATCATTGGTCACAAATGTACAGTGCTTTCACAAGTAAGGCAAGTAATCACACACTCAGTCAATATGATATCCATTGCGAATAGTCTTAATGTAAACATTGAGTTTCTTTTATTAAAATACTTATTGAAAAAGTACACTTCGGACTAAATATAAACTTTGATCAACCTGCCAAACACAGATTCCAAATTCTGTGGCATTGTGGTGGCATTCAACTTCCTTAAAGGCTCTCGTGTATCTTATGGATATTTACAATCAAGTATTGGTTGTGCAATTTACGACTGGCAGGTAGATCAAAGTTTTGATTTAATCTGGGCATGTGTCTTACAAACTTTACATGGTGTGCGTCTTTTGGTGTTGCACATAATTAATAATTAATTTTCAGTGATAGTTACATTATTGTACAATATTGATTACACAATATTAGCATATTCTACTAGCTGAGCTATTAACTGTTAGTGCCCTATAACTATACATTAAATAACAGCATGAAGGTTTTTGGAACTGGTATTAATATCTATTTGTTCAAATATAAAAAGAGCTGATATACCAGACACGTAAGACAACTCAACTATAAAGTTTCTAGGAGATCACATAGTGATGAACTAATGTAGAAAGAAAGCAATAAATGATTATATATTTACATTTTATCCCAAGAACCTGTAATTAAAAATGAATGCAGTGGCTTTCTATTGATTTGATGTTAGTTTGCTGCTCAAGGTTTTAGGAATTTTGAGAACATTTTGGGGAAAAAGTGAAGAGTTTTATTTTAACATTAAAGGAAAGCTGGCACAAGCCAGAAATACATAATAGTAATTCTATCAAAGACTAAAAATGCCGGACAGATCTTAGGCTAGTTTGTGTGCAACAACACTGAATAAGCAGGCACGTGATTTGCTTGTGGAGTTATTTACAACAGGAGTGAGACCCCTTTCTCATGTTGCCCTCTACAGCAAAATTCACTTTTTGAAATCTAGGTGTTGAAACTCTTTGGCTTTTCCGTCTCTGCGGAGCCGTGTCAGAAGTAGCTCCCCATGGGGAGCGACTTCAGGCAGGTGAAGCTGTTGGGGTATTTGCCAAGGATAATGGGGTTGCCCTCCAGCCGAATTTCGTCCATGTTTGTGCGGATGTAGCGGGTGTTGTTGCCTTTGCAGAAGGTCTCGTCTGTGATTGCAGTGATGTTGTTGTTCTACAGGGGAAAAGAAAAGCCAGGTTTGGGGGGTGGCAGTGGCAGAAAAATAAAATAGTGGGCTGACAGAAGGTGCATTAGGAGTCCTGCAACTGGATCGCTGGAGATCAACTAACCTGCAAGTGCAGAACACGCAGACTTTCAGGAAGATGAGGTGGAACGGCCTCCAGCTCGTTATTGGCCAGGTACAAATATGAGAGATTGACCAGTTTCTGGAAAGAAAGCAAAAATATTTTTTTTCTATCAGTCCACGTGGTAGATAAGCATTGTGCGTTGTTCCATTAGATAGGATGCTTTCGTCTCTGCCATATGAATCCGGCTTCACAGAACGTAAATTCTGCTAGTGAGTGGTACGTTCTTAGACAATCCAGTAAAGAGACTGATTTGTAATTGGTAATGTTATTGTGAGGGAAAAATAGGTGGGAAATTGTGGTGCTTCAGTGGTTAGCTTTACTATATCACAGCAAAGCTGGGGCCGTGGGTTCAATTGCTGGGGTTTGTGGAGTTTGTGTGTTCTCCTCATGTTTGTGTGGGTTTCCTCCATGTGCTCCTGTTTCCTCCCAAGGTCCAGAGGCTTACTGGTAAATGAATTGGCTTTTGAGAAAACTAGCCGTGGTGTGAGTGTGTGTGTCAGCTTTGTGATGGACTGGCATCCTGTCCAGAGTGTATCCTGCCTTGTGCCTGTTGCTTGCCAGGATAGGCTCCAGCCCCTCCATGACCGTGTATTAAATAATGTTGTTAGAAAATGGATGGATGGAAAAATGGGTGTTACTTCTTTCTTTTAGGTTTAGAACAATAGTTACATTTTGTGTGGGTGTAGGTAGGTGGTTGGAGAAAATGCTACATGTGGCATTGCAGTACTCTGACCTGCAGAGTATACAAGGTGAGGTCAATTCAGTGCTGAATAGTATAAAAAACAATGTTTTTGCAAGGGAGGCTTGTGTTTTGACGTTCTGGTTGGCAGTGAAGTTCATTGGTTCCAGTATTCATCTCGGAGTTTCGCATTAACCTTTCAAAAATTGATCTGCTTCATTTTGATGAAAACATGTTGCCAATGTGGAATATATTTACATATACAGTACTTTGTATATGCATGACCCGTGAAGACCGGGTGACATTGATGGTTTGAGTATGGTGTCAGGGACACCCAGGTCTGTGTTTGATCCCTGCTTGTTCACAATGTGGAAAACTGCTAGACTCCCCACCTCTGATCTCTGCACTGTCAAGAGTGGCCGCAGTGTAACTTTGCCCTATCATTGGCATGGAATACAGGTACATACCCTGAAGGCATTAGCTTTTACACCCCTGGTTCTGAGCCTGTTGTGATTTGCATTAAATAATGTCAGTTTTGTTGGTAGGGTAGGGAGCTTGACCAGTCTGTTTTCAGCAAGGGAAAGTTCTTCCAGCTGTGGGAGCTTTGAGAAAGCTCCTTCTTCAATCTCGGATATAGCATTCCCAGTCAGGTCAATTCTTCTGAGAGTGGCTGCAATCAAGAACACATTGTGTTATACTTTGGCTGCTGCTATAATCATGTTTAAATGGACACTTCACAGCCTGATTGTATACCTTCACACTAGTACTGTTTATTTGGATTTACAGTAATTGATGCTTTGATGGTCTGTTTCAAAGAGCAAACCAAAGTAAAAATCTTATTCAGCTTTGATTAGAGAGAAGAAAGTGAATAGCACAGGGCAGATAAGTTAACTGTGAAAGACATAAATATATATGCAGAGAACTTTAAATGTAGGCTTGTCACCTTAGGGCTAGTGTGTTGTGAATTATTATATATTGTTCTGCGAAAAAGCTGATGCATTGTTAAACTGACCCAGTCAAAGAGTAGAAAAAACATCAGCAACTTAATTACATAACTTAATTAATTTCAACCCCTTACCGAACCATTGAGTCAAGCACAATGGTAGTGGGAAATGCCAAATATGTATATATTATATTTGTTTGAATATAAGTCTCTTGACTCAAAACTACACAAACAGTCACTGCCTAGTTTTGGTGTTGGTAAAGATTGAACAATGGAATTCAAAACAATTAAATAATTTACTAACATTACAAGTCTGGTAGCCCTACCCTGCAGCAAAAGAAAGAGCAAATTAAATTTTTACATCATGTATACCTTTAAAACATTTTCAATCCCTAATCCAAACTGTAGATAACATACTTATCCTTACATGAGGGAGTCAGGAACCAAGTGTACTTCTAAAAGTGTGCTATACAGTATATATAGTATGTTAACCTTAATTTTTTGACACTTCTGTAACTTGATTAAAATTCCCCATTTTGGTGTCATTTAAGTTTTAATTCAGCTGTTAAATCTATTTAGAATGTGCAAATGGGTTGTGTTCTTTATAAGGTTATAGAAGTGGAACTGAAAGAGAGCTGGTAAATACTTACGGATTTCACTGAAATCTTTTTGAGCTATCTTTGCAATCTTGTTGTAACGGGCATAAAGATAGGCTGTCTCCTTTGGCAAAGCTGGAACAGCAGTGATTACTGGAACCACCTCCTCGCAGTAAACTGAGCCACTCAGGCAGACACACAGAAGACAAGTGGGCAGCTCTGAAATGATTTGGAGGTTTGGAGGTAAGTGGTTGAAATTTATACTTTATAACATGTCCGTATTATGATGAAAATCATCTCAGAATTGCTCTTAAGATTAAATTAACAGAAAACAAGAGTCTAACCTGTTTACTCTCAAAAATCCCTAGTCTAGGTTAAAACGCTGTCTGTAATGGTTTGCTGAATTTTCATCTCTAATGGTTTGGTACACAAACTTCACAGCAGTACACATAGCTATTTAAGTTTTTAATTTAACTGGTTAAAAGAGTAAACAAACAATAGTGAGTTTAAACCAACCAAAAAAAACCATATTGCAGTGTAATCATGGCATTGAACACACATTGTGCAAATTTTGTTTTCACTGACTCTAGATGTTGCTAACACTTAATTGTGGTGAATTGCATGTAATCTGAAAGATGGGTTCAACATCTTCATGATAATGTCATAGGTACTTATGAGGTGTACCTGTGACAGCAGTATTATCCCCTTGTAGCATGATCTCATTAGATCTGAGAAACTAAGTAAGGTTGTTAGGGGTTGATAATGGAGTGGAAGACATCTATGGAATTGAAGGTGGCTGCAATAAGTGGGCCAGTGGACCAGTAGATGGTGCTCTTCTCTGTAGATCATTTCTTAACCAGTGCACCCAGTCCTGACTAATTGGTCATTGATGATCCTATGGTACTGGTTATAAGACTTGGGTGGTTAATTCAATTGATGAGATAAGTAATTGACTGGCACATAACATGTGCATCGTTTAGGTACTGCACTTCAGCAGTGGATATAGTGGATCCTCTCCCTCATGTGGAGCACATTGGAATTGTTTGGGATAAAAGGCACTATGCAGTTTCAAAGAAATTATTATGAGTATACAAATCACAGTAACTAAAAGTCAACTTGAAGTCACTTGAGTCACTTGAGATATATGCGTTTCAAATCCAGTTAATTGAAAGTGTGTACTATGTGTAATTTCAGTTGGTTATTAGTCTGAATTAGATGCTTTGAATGTATTTGTTTTGTTTACCAGCTGCTTCTTTGGGAGTTGGAAGTACAGGAACTTCATTTTCAGCAGGTTCTGTATCTGCAGGAGGAAGATCCTCGTAATCTATAATAGTCTCCTGTTTCTGTAGATTAAATATTCGATAGAAACAAATTAGAAAAATCATAAAAGTATTAGTGATAGCCAGTGTTTACAGTTTTTGGAAACAACCATTTGTTCAAGAATGATTTTGTTTTTACAATTTCAGTCCATAAAAAGGTGGAGAGAACAAAATTAAACAAATATGAAAAAATTCTCACTCAATTCACATATCCACAAATCCGTTTATTCTACCCAAAGAAACATCAACAGATCACCTCTTAGATGTAAAAAGGTTCTGGGAAAGATCTCTTAAAAGATTGAAGTGTTGACAATTGCAGATTGTTTTCGGTAAAAAAGGACCTTTCCAACACAATTTTGTGTGAAAGACTTTATCTCACCATGTATACTTTTCAAAATCTCAGGGACATTAACAAACTTAATTGCTTCTGGTTTTGTCCAGGTTGCTCTGAAAGTAGCACAGTTTAGAACAAGTTGCTTTACTACCTTGTTAATGTAAATAAATTGGGCATTTGAGTGGTTCAACTAGTAAAGATGGTCTCTTTAAGTACAGCTTGCGCTCCTAGATCTATACAGGTATGCCTTGGATTTCTGGCTCGGTCGTGTCCCTACCTGACTGTACTTGTAGTGTCCCAAACACAACTGCTAGAATGCAGCCAGGGGTGAATTTTGGGATAACTTTGTCCAATTTTGTCTTTAAGCAGTTGTTTTTCTTTTCAAATAATACCAATAAGAAATCAGGCAGATGAAACCTTTGTGTAATATATGTTCCAGTTCCAGATAAGTTTTCTGTGTCTTCATGTCCTGTGATGGGTCAGACTATAATAGAGTTATGATGCCCTCACTATCCTTTTCATTGATGGGTATGGGGCACCAGTCTTTTTTGTCTTGTGCTTAAGAGAAAGAGAAATCACTCTAAATTCAGGATGTATAAAGAGAGAGCAAAAGATGGAAGTTGGGAAGAGCAGAAACTGTATGCTGGGACCAGAACAAACTCCCAAGCCCACCCATTTTACATGAGAACACAGCAGCAGGGCCACAACAGCAGTAAAGTATGTCTATCATAAATTGGCCTCATTAGTCTTCTTTTAACACACAGATATGATAATCAAAGAAGAGGGCCATCTTGCTCGCAACATATGACAGAGCAGTGACATAGACTATCTTTTCACTGACCTGAAAACAGTCTTTTGGTGCCTGGGAAAAGTAGTCAGACCCTTGCACAGTTTTCACATCGTGTTTCTTTAAACCTTGTGGTCCTGACACTTTAGTAGTAGCAATGAATGTTTGTTATATGCACAACCTTCTCCACACATTCTGAGCATAAAACAAAAATAATGTATGTGTCTCTGTAAGGGTCTTCCACTCGGGAATTGAATTTCAAGCAAAGATTCAGCTTTGAAAACTAAGATGTCACTGTGAGGCCAACAGCAACTTGGTTTAATGCAACATCGCACGGTTTAATGGCTAAGATCGGAGAATAGGTCCAAGAGTTGAAGCTGGCCTCTATGATAGAATGGCAGGAAGGAAGCCATTACTGGAAAACAACACCTCAATTCCTGCATGAAGGTAGCAATAAACTATTTCACTGACACTGCAAAAAAGGGCAAAATGTGTTTGTGGTCAGATGAGACAAAACTGGAGACATCTAGGTCTAAATGCAAAATATTAACTTCCAGTGCAAACGACACATATCATCACCCAGTCAACACCATCCCTACTGTCAAGCATGATCATGCCAGCATTATGCTATCAGGCTACTTCTCACCAGTAGGGATTGAGACGCTTGTCAAGACTGAGGGGAAAACTTATGCAGCAAAGTACAGGCTGATCTAAGAGGAAAACCTCTTAGCATAGGAATACTCCGAAGGACACAGTCAAAGGTATACTGGTGAGACTTAAGAAAAAGAAAGTCCAAGTCCTGACTTGAATGCTATTGAGAATCTATGGAACAACTGGATAGCTGCTGTCCATAAGTGATTCCAAAGAATATTGAAGGAGCTTGAGCAAACCTGCTAAGAAGAATAGGCAACAATTGCACCAAGCCCGTGTGCAATTTGGTAAAGACTAATGCAGAACGATTTGCGGCTATAATTGCTGCCAAAGGTCCTTCCATGGATTACTGATTTCACGGTTCTGAATACTTGTGTGGTCAACATTTCATGTTTTTCTTTTTAGCTTTTGCTGACAGTGTAACTTCTCCTCATTATGATCAAATGATATTGAGCTATTTGAGCATGTGACTGGTTAATAATATAGGCTAAATTGGTTTGCTTGGTCCGTCATTGGTTCTGGCAGTGGTAGCGTACTAATGGATTATACGGTAGTTTTTACTGTACTGTGTTTTGGTCTGTTTAAAATTTGTACCAATCTCTGGCAACTGAGGGTAGTGCAATCTAAGTCTAAACAAAATCTAAATCTGCAAATAAAGAGAAGACTTGTACACAGAGCTGTGAAGAAAGTCCTTAATGTTCCAAGTTCCTTGCATCCAACACATTGCACCAGCACTGCTGCTATCTGAAATTGCTATATGCTTCCAAATTTTGCAAGCTGGCAATGGTATTATGTTGTTATTCCACAGTATATTCTATACGCACTGGGTGGAAATCGCATGTTTAAAGATTGTCAGCTGTGAATATTTAGCTTCTTAGATCACAACCTACAGTAAAAGCAACTCTTAAATGGCCATTAGAATTCCTGGACAAAGACTGGATATAACTCCATTTAAACATATTTGGTCCATCCTTAACTTGAGTTGTCAAAATCCAGCCTTTAAAGTATTCCCTCAAATAGATTCCCTGCAGACAAAAACTGTGGATTTTATCCAAACAATGTGTAAAGTATTCTGTTGCCTTGCATTAGACAAATTCGATTTTGTCTTTTTTGGAAAGTATTCACCCCTCTCATTTTTTGCCCGTTTCAACAATAAGGAAACATACCCTTAACATACAATAAGGTTCTTTAGATGGTGGGAGTCTGTTTAAGTCTGTATCTGTATCACCAGTAAGATTTATTTTCATCAGTGTCTTTGGTGCCATTCTGTAAGGGCAAGGTTTTCCACCAGCTACCAACAAACCATACTGCATCTATACTGTAGGTCTAAAAATAAAGACTGCAGAATTTGCATCAGGGATATCGGGGAGACAGATTATGATGATGAACGTCCGGCTATGCAGGTGGAAATGTCCTTGATTGGTCGACTGTAGGTCGACAAGGGATCAAAAGCTCGACATTGTCCATTGATGACTTAGAATGGTACGAAGATGATTAGTCTAGGAAGTGACACCAGAAAACACTTGAATTCATGTCGTCTTTCCTCAGTTGTGAGTTGAAATGGTGAAAAGCACTTTCCATTCATGGTAAACTGGGCGAATCAAATCACACTCAGGCAAACATTTCCTTTTGCTGTGTCATTCAACTAGAACCTGGAGCTGGCCTTCAAGATCTTTCCATTGTGAAATGTTTCCCAGTGAAACAAGCAGCACATGTTTTATATTGAAAACACAGTTGGTTTTAGCACACGTCTTAGCAACCACCCATATTTTTTTCATTGAAAAAAAAAATTGGTAAGTACCCAGGCAAAATATTTGACTTACATATGCTTAGTTTCAAATGATTTATATTTAATTCCTTGTGGCACTGGAGAAATAAAATAATACATTTAATATACTTAAGTAGAATATTTCACCAGATATTGAACATACTTTGGACTTCCCACTTTTTATGAAGACTATCTTATGTACCGAATTCACAGTGACTGCAACAATTGTTTTAAGATTGCAACTGATCTCATGCCCTGCAGCATCATTCCTGGCAAGTTGTGTGTCTATGTGGCTTTATTGACAGCAGCTGATGCTGTGCACTTGACTGTCCAATAGTGGAAATAAAGTAGCAAAGCTGGTATAAAGAAAAAAAATAATTTAATAATACTGTACATCTTAATACAGTGAGTAAAATTGTTGAATAGTGGCATTCATAGCTTAGCTTTACAGTTATTTTGCAAATCAAATAACACGAACATTAAAATGATTAATCTAGGAGATTCTGAATTTATTTAAGGCATCCACAATCACAGAAGATTTGAACCGATTTTAACCGATAGTGGTGAAACAGAGCTGATCCCTTAAGCAGAAAAGCATAAGCCGTCAGCTTGTTTGCATTGCCCACAACAGAAAATATTCATTGTCAGAAGACAATTAAAAAAAACAAATTAAATAACTGTACCTTTGCTTCCAAAGCTGTCAAAAAGTCGTCAGGAGTGCGAAATATATCCTTCTCATTGTTATGGTGTTCTGAATCCAAGGTAAATGCTGTAACTGCTGCTAAGATTACCCAAAGTACAAGTATTAAAGAAAATATTAGTGGTTTTAGCTTGCTCATCTTGTCTGAGGGCACTAGCACTTGCTAAATGTTGTTGAAAATGAAGTAGTGCTGTGGGTATTTTCTTAGTGCCTGGGAGTAAAATGTGATCTGTCAAATCTGTATTTAAAGCCTTCATGAATAGCTGCCAGGGGATTCTTAAGCATGAGTTTATGGAACAGACTTTAACCCTGTACATTCCACAAGAAGGAAAAAGTTATTTACTTTCTCCTTAAAAAGTTTCGAAGTGTTTTTTTCTTATTTTGCAGTGATAGAACATCTGCAGCATCAACATAATTTAAACAACAAGTTAAAAAGAAGATAGCATCACCTGTAGTTTTACAGTGCTTTAATTTAATTAGGATAATAAGGAAAATTATTTAGCATGGTGGACTGTCTTACTTGTTGTTGACTATGCTTTTGAATCAGAATTGTTTTGCATCTTGTTTAATTTATTCAACTCTGTGACTCAGTGTCTCTACTGAAGCAGGACTTTTAATTAAAGTGTGTTAATATCTTTAAGCAAATCCTTTAAAATAAGTCTGAGGGTGTATGTTTCTAATTCTACAACTGAAATGAAAGTATCTGCAACACATTTTATTAATTAATGGTTGCCTACAGCATCCCACAACTATACCAGTATAACTTGTATATTATTGAAACATGGCTTTTACTGTGTTACAAAATTTTATGTGTTAATTGTTTTTTAATTTTATTTAAACTGCTACTTTAAAAAAATGTTTATTAGGTGATCAGGACTAAATTTATGAACAATAGTCCAGACAGTCTGTGGATTATACACCTCTCATTTTTAATGTGAGAGAAAATAGTAAGACTTTCCAGACTTCTAATCCTTTAATATAAACTCTGAGTGCAGATCTCTACATAACTTAATCTCTTTCCATTGAATACAAACCACATAAAAATAATGTCACTAAAGAATTATGTAGTCACTGCATTGTGAGTCATGCATTATGTCTGCAATTTATTTGGGATTAAAAACTAATAAAATAAATTGAACTGTTTACAAATACAGAGAGGTGGTGTTGATTATTTAAAAAAATCAAATTGTATAATAGCAATAAAAGTGTTTAAATGAAACAGAGTTGTGAGGTGGTTTTTTTCTGCAGGAAAGGTGGTCTTCCTACAATCCTGTCATCCAAAACATCATCCATGGTGTAACCCAGTGCCAACAGGATGAATAAAAGCATGTTGTTCTTGAGGTGGTCCCAGTTTCTCGTTCATGTAATGTCAGCCATTGGCAGGCTCATCAGCCTCAGGAAAAAAACAGTATTACTAGTGTAATAATTTCCTTTAACTGTACGTCTCTATAAGGTCTTTTATAGGACCTTGGCAGGCTTTGCTTCTTGTCGTGATAGAAAAACCTTTCAACAGAATCAAGTAGTTTTCTAGCCTCGTGTGCGACCTGCTCATGTTGGCAGGGGGCGTCGGCTAATTGCTCTTTCAGCATTGTGCCTTTCACATGCTTAAGTGCGTTTCTTTGGCTTTCAGTATTCCGGAACAGACCATGTGATCGATGATTGTAACATGCTTGTTAATAGGAGGCTCGTACAAGCCGAGAGAAAGACTGGCAGAGAGTATAACGACTTTGTTTTCCGCAATGAACGATGATGGCTTTTTCCCTGTCCACACCCGATTTGGAAAAGTCATTTTCAACTTCATCCTGCTCATGTGGACAGAACGTTATTCAGCTGAGAATTTTTATCACCCTTTATTTCACTTTTCTAATCTAACCGAGCGAATAACATGAAGTCAACAAAGCTAGAAGGAACAGCACATCTGACCTAGCCTCTTTTCAGTATTTCTGGGGTGCATTCATTTCCCTTTTCCAGCCCATGTCTCTTTCTGAAACTCCAAATAGGTCGTGAAGCTTGCTTCAGTAACCAGAATTTCAGTCAGGGATCCCTTCTTTTGGTGATTCTTCCTCGAGTATTCTTCTTATCCTTTTGTGGTTTTCTTCTTGGCCTTGGTATTGCCTATGGAAATTGTTTGAGCCTCTTGGCCGATTTTTCATTGGAAGCAGGTGTTTGTGTTTATAGAAGAGATGTGACATAAATGGGCTGCAGAACAGATATGAATCATCAACACTTTACTCCCCAGGTTGTCCACTGTGCATATTATCAATGTCATGTTCAGCATCATTAGAATGCTATTTGGTGTTTTAATTTACATTCCATTGGACACATTCAACTCACTACAGGCAGCAGAATCAATTAGTTGGAGGTACTAACAAAGCTGAGAATATTGACAAAGTTTAAAGCATGTATTGTCGAATCAATCTATTCCCACAAAATTGTTTCAGCTACTTTAATCCTTAGTTTTTTTTCATTCTGATATTTTTCTTCACATTTTATCCACAGTAAGAACTTTATTACTGTTTAACTTTTATATGCATATTCATATTTTATCCATTATAATCCCGACAAAATCTAACAAAAATATAAGCATCAAACATGTGTTTCCAAACTGCCATTCAACAGGGCATTCTTATGGCAATTAATTAATAACTTCTCTTTCCCTGTGGAATGTTCAGTTCTTCCAGCTCAGAATGATCATATTTTAGGGTTTCAATAGGAGATTTAGGACGCTAAAGAGAAATGTGATTTTAAGAAGCTAGCATTTTTTCTTTTTCTCTGAATCATCTTGGGAACATGTGCTGTTTTTCCGTTTCAGATCTCAGCAGGAAATGAATGTTTAGAGAATGGCAGGATCTCTCCATTGCTGTAAACAATGTCACAGATTTAACACTTAAATCTGCTGTTGTCAAAAACATTTTCTTTTTCAGAATCTTCAAATCGTTTTCAAATCACCGCTAGTGAAGACATTGTGTGCTGTCTTGGTTGAGTTTGTATGTTCTTCCCGTGCTCCTGTGGGTTTCCTCCCACAATCCAAAGTTATCTAACATAGGTTCAGATGGGTAACTGTGTCAGCATGCGCAGACTGCAAAGGAACAAGTAATAGGTTTATTCCATACTTCTTTTTTTTCAGCATGGAATAAACCTATTACTTGTTCCTTTGTAACATAGGTTTAATGGCTTCTGGGAAAAATAGTTCTGCTGTGAGTGTGTGCGTGTCCGTGTGTGTCCTGCAGTATTTACAGAAAATCCTAATGCTAAAGGTAGAGCAAATTAATGTGCTAGCTGAGAAACATGAAATCATTGTATTATTGGTTTGAATTTGACCTGTTACAAATATTAAGCATTGTTTCTTTTTTTAAACTTTTTAGATCTTCTTGTGCAATGCGTACAGTATGTCTTGGATTATTGTTGTGTTAACATAACAGCCATTGTTTTTTGTATGTTACTGTAAGTCATTAATATATGTTAAAACCAAAACAGCCTTTGCACGTATTTTGGTGATACAATACATCTCGCTACCCAGCATAAAAAACATGTGACTGATACATGGCCCCTTCCTTGCACCCCAGAAAAGAGGAAAGGGGCCCAAAAATTAACATTTGAGGAATGGAAACAAGTGGAATGTAACAGTGTATAAGTAATATTAAAGGTGTGCCAGCAATTATATGAGCTTGTAAATGTTTACTGTCCTAGGCACTGAGCCAGATCCCGGAGAATGTTTTTTCTGTGCTAATTTGCTATAGTGCATTTTTGTGTCAGGGTGATTTTTAACTGTATGAATATTTTCTAAATCTATAAAGTATATTTAATATATAACCTCTGGTTTTAGATATGCATCACAACAACCACACTAGGCATTAGCCCCAGAGATATATGCATATTTCTTTATTTCACTTTGGAGATTTCTATCTGTACATGACATTCAAAAGGGAATATCTTTGCTTGACTGGCTGTGTACCAACATGCTTAAACATTGTATATTCATTTGATGTTATACTCTTAGAAGAACACAGTTCAAATGCTTCTGGGTTGATGGATTACTTAACAGGTAGTATAGAAAGTACCTATTAAATCTTATAACAGACTAACTTGTTTCTCACCGCTGTGCATAATCTTAACATAACCCAATATGTGTGTCTTTGCAGCGCCTGTGACCTTTAAGGCATTATATCATGTCAGTTAGTCAAGACTTTGCAGCTAACTCCAGACCAGCTATTATTTCTTTCTTGAGAGAGGTGGTTGAGGGAATAAAATAAAAATAACTTTATTTGGACATTTCACTAAATCTTAATGAAACACTTTTAAAACACAAATCCTGGAGCAAGGTCAAACAGAAAATATCTAAATATATTTGTAGCCAAATAATTCCATACAGAGATAACATTAATATTTGCTAATCCATTGCCAAAAGGTGTATCTGCGTATGGACAAAAAAAGCTAAAGTCACATGTGAAGGGTATGATGTTCTGTTATTGTGTTGATGTATAACATGGGTTTTTATTTCTTTAATGTGCTTTTGTACATCAAGAAAACTGAGACTTTGTGTTCCAGTTGGTTTAAAAGATACTGTTACTGTTTTGCACCTGCATTATTATATTGTGGACTTGAGACATTTTTTTGAATCACGTGTGTGTGTGAAGAACTGTGTCTTCCCATTCTGCACACTCATCTGTGTATTTTCGATATAACATTGTGTCCTTGTTTTGTACAGTGTCTTGGATTATTGTACATACATCTTTGTGACAGAGAGCTATGTTAATGAACGGTGTGCTAATAATTGAAGTGACAGGTACGATAATACCATCTGTTACCTCCGGGGTTCTTAGAAAGCACTAATGCTGAATTGCTGTGCTCTTGCACAGCTGTATACAAAAATGGAAGTGTATGGAAAAATGGACGCCTGGCTCATGCTAAGTACAATTGTGAAATTATTTTGAGCCATACAACAAGCAATTTATAACAGAATGATGAAAGAGGAAACAGTAAGCAGAAGAACATGGGAGGACACGCAAGTTCAAAAGGAGCTTTTTAAAGAATTGCAGATAAGGCTTTTTAGCAAAATGTTTTTTAAAGTCAGAGCCAAAGAAAGCAATGAGTTGAAGACATTATTCCTGAGATAAAGTGCCAAGTTTTAAATAGAAGCATTCACGTCTTCTATGGTTCCTCTTGGAAATTCATTCTGCATAAGATGGTATGTATTATAATATATTTAAACCAAGCCCTCTTCATATTAAATATGAGAGATGAATATTCACTGTACAGTTCACTGTACAGAGAGTGGGAATGTTCACCGTATAGTGTTATGAAAATGTTTGTGTTGTTAATTACTTTTTCAAAACCAGCACAATTAGCTACATAAAATAATAAAATAAGAAATACACGGCTCAACTGTCAGACATCAAAATGACTCGTGATCCCAAAACATTAACGTTTGAAAGCATACGCTTTCAACAACCTGCAGATACCACTATATAAGTCAAGACACTATATATATATTTTTAAAGTTCAATTAAGATTAAGATGTAATCTGGGAAGATCAATGCTGATGAGACTAATAAGAAAAATATTGCTTTACTTGACAAAATTCAATCCTTTTATGATTTGACACTTTCTTAAACAATATTTACATGTAATAACATTTTGAATTAAATGGAGGGATGCAAAAAAAAACTCACTTCCACTGTCATTTTTCCATTATGTAATGGAAATAACCACAGCTGTGAAACAGTATTGTTATTATGTTTCAAGCATTTCAGTACATTTCATGGACGCCGAGTTAGAAGAGTTAGAACAAGGTTACTCTTTGGATAACATTACAGAACCACCCACGATTTTATTAACCTACGTCGTTCTAGACTTTGGTATTTGGAAGAGGAGAGAATCTACATTCTCACCTGTGAAACCTCTCTCCAAGGCAGAGTTGAGATCTGCCACTGGAGCAATGGAAGTTTGGACACATTCCATCCACCTTGGATGCATAAATTGTTAAAAAGATGAGGAGTAAGTATTGTGACATAGCTGATGTCTGAACAACTAGTATTTTTCTTCATTGCCAAAAAGGAGGTATAATGCAACAATAGGTTAATGACATTTATGGAAATATTTTTTTATTCATTACCTGTGTGAAAATTGCATATAGTGTTTCACTAAAACTTGAAATTGCTAATCTGTGGATATGAATCTTGTCCAGCAATATCTTTGGCCAAATATGCATAATACTGTCCCAAGAGTAAAGTAGATGATTGTACTAGAGTTAATTAAATTATTACCTTTAACAGCAAATTTTATTTCATTTTAAAATCATAGCGTCTCTCTAGTACTGTAGTAGTTATCAATATGGGAGATATTGATATTTTGGCATGCTGAAGTTGGGGAACAAATGTTGTTTCATGAATAAACCAAACTGCTTGTTAAAATGCAATTGATTTGTGGAAATGGTATTTTATCTGTAATCAAAGACTGGAATCTATCTAACAAACCTTGCCATTGTTTATTTTTGTTAAAAGCTTTGAACTATTTTCCATACTGTACTCCTCAGCCATGCTTTGGCTTGAAGCCATGGAATTCAGTCTCTCAAGGAATGATCTGTAGTGTGTGATAGATTAAACAGAAGGATTTCACTTGAACTGCTCAGCATATAGAAGGTTTCAGAAGTCCTGAACCCTGATAATTAAGTACTTACCACGGGACTTTCCGTTGGTGTTGAACTGAACGGACTGACCCTCACACCTCTGTGGTCATCTCCCCACCATCCCTCACTTTAACATTCCTCTGGGTCAGTTTAGAAAAGACAGCAAAGATTAGCATCTTTAATTCAAAATGGGAACCACATGGAAGTATTTGTGGGAAGTATGTGGAAATTCCAGTGAACAAAACTACCTGTGACCTCAACACATTCAAATCCCTTCAACACCTTTGCTAATTTACCAAATGTTCAGGAGCTAATGATATCACAAAAGTACATGCACTTTGTGTAAATGTTTTCATATTCAAAATAAAATATAAATAATTTAATATTTCTTATATCCTTCTGATTAGATAGTAGTTATCTTCTGAGTTAGAGGATTATTTTCTCTTTTGACCCAAAGAAGTAAAATAGACTATTTAATTTAACTGCACTGTTTGCACTGTTTTTAATTACAACAGATGTCAATTCACATATGCTTTGAGCATTTTGTTTTTAAATGATTGATTCCCCTTGCATGCATCCTCTGGAGCTTTTTATTATTTTCAATCATATACAGTTCATAAACGTTTTAGTAAGGTGTTACTTGGTTAAAGCCATGATTTGTGTTTCTGCATGTAGGATACAACTTAAAGCAAAGTTTAGGAAATATATTACTGATACACACAGCAAGATAAAAAATAGAATTTTAGGTGCAGGAAAAGTGTAGCATTACCTAAATCAGTTAAAATGGAGTGATTTAGGTTGAATCATAAATAAACAGGAATGTGAAGGGTTGTACTATACGAGTCTGAATGGAAGATATGGGCACAATGTATTTTATGGTGAAAGAGAAAAATAGGTACAGTATGAATTATTAAATTGGGATGTTTAAAAGAAGATGCATCTTCACAAATGAGACTGTTAAAGCTGGATGCTTGAAGTTGCCACTATTAAACAGTATTGGACAGTGCCTAGAACATGAAGTCACATACTGTTGCACGTATTGAGTTGCAGTAATTTAGGATAGGCGTCTCAAAAAGGGTTAAAGCAGCTTCTCCCCCTCCTCCCCACACACATCACCCGGTTCTGTGCCTTGAGGGGAACTTCTGCAGCTGGAGATCTGGAAGTCTATACAGCTGACTCCTGATTTTACAAAAAAGCACTGAGCTCCACTGCATCACTGTGAGCCTTCCTCATTACAGCACCAGGCATCTTTTCTCCAAGCCTGAGGTCGAGAAAAAAACTGAGCATCTGTGCTAATATACAAAGCCATAAGCTTGAAGGAGGCAAAAAAAAGGATTAAGGCTATAATAAAATTAAAATGCAAATGCAATTTAAAGTTTGAACTTTTTTCCTCCAGTTTTTTTGGAATCTTGTTGGTTTCAATTTGTGCTCCAAGTTAAAAAAAGCAAAACTGATTGTATTTGACAGTTGGAAACAACTAAATCTGTGGCATAATGACTAAAGGATAATCGGGTTATTATATATAGGTCTAACGTGTATTTCCCATGTAAAGTGTTAAGCATGTATTATTAAATTCTGCAAAGGTTCTACTTTCCCGAAGTCAGACTGAAGAAAATAGTATTTAAAAGAACTAGAACATGATATGATACAGTAGATAACAAATTAGTAGAGAGGGTAATATTCTGCTAAAGGCACCCGAGTTATTAAATTATCAATGAAGAACAGTATCAAGTTAAACTAATGAATTTGGTATAGTGACATAGGTGTACAGAAGAAAATGGACAGAGTATATGATGTGGTGTATTTAAATTTAAGGCTAATGATAATCTTCCAAAATAAGGAGGTAGGCATTCAAGGTAATATACGAAGTGAATACATAATTTGGGGTGATAGAAAATTAAAAATTAAAATTAAAATTAAAAATTATAAAATGTCCTCTTTTCTCTTAGAGTACTGTACATGTACAGTAGTTTACCATGTTGTAAAAAGTTATTGCTGCTTTGTATTCAGTCCTGTGAAGAGTGACCATATTTATTCTGTCTCTCAAATGTGTATCCTACTCTGACAGACTAAAAAAATTAAAATCTTTTAAGTCTTTAATGGAGAAGATTGCATTGGAACATGCTCCAAAGCATTCAAAGTTCAAAGTCAGACCATGGTCTTCTTGAGAACAACCATGAAAAATAAACCAAGATGAGATTTCTTACTCACTTATGCAACTGTAGAAACTTATATTTAAATGTTGATAGTAGGATAGTACTTTTGTATCAAAATCGCAACATATCAACATATTAAATATTCCAGTAACTTTTGTTTACTGTTTTTATACATTTCAGATTTCAAAATACATCTAGTGTTGATTGCCATTAAACCACTGTTCCATGGAATGCTGCCAAGATTTTTTAATTGTTTTATTATGTACACTGGCTTGTTAAGGCCCACAAAGCATGAAAAAGTCAAGTATTCATCTACAGTATGTATAAAAACAAACAGTTGAGAGTAGAATTAATCCTGAATCTTTGTACTTGGAAAATCATCTCTATTTTTCCAGGTTAAATAAAAAAGGGAACAGCTGGTTAACTCATTTTCATTTTTCAACTGATAGAAGCCTTACATGCAGAGAAGAGGACAATTTTTGACTTGTGTACCAGTCAATTATTCATGCCTACATTATTCATAAATAAAACTAATCAGAACTAAATATATATCTCATGCATTAACTATTCAGCCAACACATTCAAGCCTAGTATGCAAGATAGTTTTTGTAGATAACCTAGAAATTGTTCAGTTCTCCTTCTTTGCATTACTTGTCATACATTTATGTTAATAATGTCTGATCAAACAATGTGTTTGATCAAAGGAGAATTCAAGGACAGTCACAAGCCTTCTTCTGAAACTGTAAAGAACTGGATAGGGGTGAATTCTTAAGTGATGTGAGTACAAAGATAAAAGCCACTGTATTTTTGAGTACCAATTTTACTTCTTAGCATTATGAATAAATATAGCAGTTCTTTCAGTCTTCTTTTGGATACTCTTCAACTAGTACTGATTCGGGCTCAGCAGGTATATTTCCTCTTAAACGGGGGCGCCCTGGTTGGAATACTGGAGGTGGGAGGTAGTTTTCAATGACCTGTTGTTCACCATAGAAGATATTCTGAATGCGTGGGAAGCACTGGTAGATGTAATAGTTTATTGGGCCTTTCAGCCTGTTCTGATCAATGCGAATGTAGGTAAGCAGATTGGGTCTTAATAGATCAATTGTAGGACACAAAACGGAAACATTCAGATCTGTAAAACAGAAAGAAAAGTTTTTCATTAAAACATATTTAGTTAAAAAAAAACAGTATTTGAGCAGGACGACTATATTGTGATTTATATTTTACAGAATTTGCTAGATGAAATACATTACTGAATGTTTTTTTAAGTTTAGAAAGTTGACCTTCAAAAACATATTTAATAGAATAACTAAGCATATGTACTGTATATTTGTTGGAGAACCCATGAATGCACCATGCAGAATAAATGCACCATTTAATATTAAGATTTAACTAAATGCCCAGAACAAAAGCAAAATCAATACAGTATGTCTGCAAAACAGAACCTACCAACAAACTCATTATGATTGAGGTATAGGTGCTCCAGGACTCTTGGGATAAAGAAGGCTTTAGACAGTTGGTTGTGACCAAGGTTTAGCTCCATCAGATTTGACATGTTGAATACTTTGTAGGGAACATTCTTGAGTTTGTTGTATGATATCCTAAGGGATATGAGATTTGGAGTTTTCTTGAAGTACCCTTCAGGGATAGAAGAGATGGAGTTGTTCTCCAACGACAGTTGCAGTAAAGAACTTGGCAGGTCAGATGGCATGGATTTCAGCTTGTTGTTGCACAAGTTAATTTGCATGAGCCTTTTCATACGACTCAGGATTTTTCCTTTAACTGCAGCATCTATCAGCTTGTTGTTGCAGAGATCAAGTATTGTTAGGTTCGTCAGGTCTTGAAGGGCATCTGGTGACAACTTAGAGATCTTGTTGAACCCAAGAAAGAGTCTGTGAAGACTGTTTGGTAAAGGGGCTGGAATGTCTTCCAGATTATTGTACTCTAAGTGAAGTTGAAGCAGTTGTTTTATTTGGAAAAAAACACCACGGTCCACCATAGAGGACTTTATCTTGTTGTGGCTCAAGTTAATTTCTCTAAGAGATGTCGCATTAGTGAAGGATTTTGCGTTCACAGCTTCGATTTCATTGAACTGAATATATAGGTGACGGATGTGACGAGGAATATTGGGAATGCTTTTCAGATTCCGATTGTCACAGTACATTGCAAACGGATAGGAAGGTGGGCAAAAACATTCCCTGGCACACTCATATGGGTAATACATGTATGGATCAGCATAGTCAGTAGTAGTTGGGGAAGGAATTTGTACAGGTACGTCAGTTGGTTGCTTTGTTGGTTCAACGTCATAGTCATATATAGGGCTGTAGTTGTCAATATAATCCTGACACATAACTTCCATACCAAAGAGAAGGATGATTACTAGCAATTGATTTTGATTGCCCATGGCTCAGTTATGCCTGTCTCACCTGTTAAAAAAAAAAGAAATTATATTTATAATAACTGTTAGCATGGCTGTTCTGGAAATCCAGTTTAGGCTGCTTAATGTATGTAATTATTCATACCTGCACTGACTTTATAATAAATATTGTGCTGTTGTCCTTTTAAAAGCATTTTTGCTTGTTTACTACTGTATCTTGTGAACTATTTTTTCCTACAAAGTGGAAATAAGCAGTGTTTAAAACTATAATATTTAAAAGAATCATGGATAATAATGTTAACTCATCCTATACTGTATCTTCGGGGCAAAAAATAAGACTTGCTACATTTCAATCTAGTGAGGAACAATGACTGTTAATTGCATTTTATTAGGGAGAAGTTGATAAACATCAGAAACCTGGAATACTACGTATGGAACAGAACTTCTGTGTCAACAAAAATATTTCAGTGAATTAATTTTTTTTTTTAAATAGGCACTTAATTTCAGCAAAAAACATTAAGTACCCTAGGTGTTGGTATTTTTAGCAAAATTTTGTCTGAATTAAGACCGAGAGGACAGCTGGAAACACAGAGCTCCGGTAGGTCCTGTAGGTTTAGACAAACCCTAGAATAGTGAAGTGTGAATTTTACTTTAATCTGAGCATAGACAGTTCTCCACACAGATTGTGGCCACAGCAGATTACTCCTTCATCAGGTGAAGAGTGAGATATACAGTATACATTATGTAATATACATGTAATGTGTTTAGTGATAAATGTGTGTGTGTGAGGCTGACGTCTCACATTTGTATAGTTTCTGAGGAGGGAAAAGCACATTTTGAAACTTCTGTAGCACTACCCATTGAAAGAGTTTGTTGTTAAAAAAAGATGACCCATTGAAAAGGTTAATTGATACAGATCATTGTGTCTCTGCATGCAGCCCAGCAACCAGGGGTGCAGTCACAGGGGTAGTTTTCAGAATTGGAACCCAACTCCTCTGTTGTAAATTGGACCATTCTGAAAGTCCAGCCCCAAATTATACATACTTTAGTGACTTAAATGCTAAGCCGCTTTTGTAAAAATGATATTAGACAAGCAAGTTGTTTTGTGACAGGGTTCATACTATAACTACCATTAATGATGTTGGCTTGAAACTTGGCCCATTATTAATTTCCCAGTGCCTCTTTGTAACCTGATCCTTGCTACACCACTGCCAGGGGCTAGAGCTGCTATTGAACATTTTTTAGACCTTGTGGGAGTTCTGAGACTCCTCTCCATCTTGCTTGAAAAAAAAAATCTGATTATCGTTATCGTGACAGTGTAATTTAAAATATACAGTTTTCTTGTAGGTGGTCTCTTCTATTTTTTTTAAGAAAGAACATGTGTTTGATATATTGATCTCAAATGCCTGGAAGCTTATTGTCAAGATGATTGATGTCTGCCACCAGCCAGGTGGTCCGTGGCACCATGACTCTGTATACAGTACATGTTTTTGATTTCCAGCTGTAACTCAGAGACATTTTTATTGCCAGAATATCTCTTGAATTGTTGAATGTCTCTGGGAATGAGTTCATTGCAAAGTGGCTTTTGTCATTTTAATCTCGCTGCTGCCCAGGTTTACAAGGGTCTTGTGGAAAAAAGGCTCTTTTTATATTGAAACAGTCTTTCATAAAGAAAGCATTTCAGAACGATGCCTGTTTTCACAGTTTTGTCTTAGGTTGCACACCATTTTACTACATTTTACAAAAAGCAGGTTTCTGTTGGCATAATGCGTTTTCTTCTTGAATGTCTGGAAAACTTCTGCTCAGACACTAAAACACTGTTTCTGGTCAAAGTATGGTTCAGATCATAGGGTGACTTTTTGGATTTTAAATGTCACAGAAGGGGTAGTTTACTTCTTGCCCACAGATAGATTTCTGGGGTTTTCTATATAGTGTTATAGTTTAAAAAAAACTAATTATTTTATTGCATGATGCATTTTCCTTTTTAGATGGAGCAATTCACCTCATCAATAGGTCATCTTTCCCTTATACCTTAGTAGTCAGGAATGAATTAGATAAATAAATATAATATATATATATATAATATGCTGTTTAATAATAGGCAGAACATATGTGGTAGAACTGTCTCATCTGAATTTGATAAATTAAAATCAGACAAAATGAAGTCACTTTTGGATATGTAGAGGCATACTGTTGAACCATAAACTGGAGTTAGACAAATCAGTAACTGACTTGTTTGTTGAACTGTAAGTTTGCTGAATTTGCAGTTCCTTCATGGAACACTTTTGCTTCTCGTTATTGAAGAAAACTACATGCAGATTCTTGGCAATAAAGCTTCTTAGTGCTGCTCGCCTGTGCACTGCAATGGATGGACCATTATTTGTCCTTGTCAGAGAAGTGATGATGTCAGAATTAAAATTATTTATATTGACCTTTGATTTTGATTAGTTTGTTTCATCTTGTTTTTGTACTAAACTATTTTACAGCCTAAAGCACACAACAGTAAATATAAAAAAGAAAGAATTAATCAGAAGATTTTGCCAACAGGACTATTGTATTTTTTTGATTGTTTGTATGTAATTATGCATAAGTAGATACTCCCATGACATGAATCTGTTTTCAAGCATAGTACATGATTTATGGCATTTACATTAGCAAGAGAAAATTCACCATAAAATAGAATAATAGTAATTCTAACTTTATTGTTTGTATTTCAGTTATACACACATGGATGACTTTACTGTCCTATAAAATCTTTATTTCCTACTACCCCTGCAATTGCATCTTATATTGCAAATTGTAGTGGCCAACAAATGTTGTTTTCAATTGTCCAAACAGACAGGTGATGAAACATTAATTTGAACAAAAGATTAATTCTACAATAAAACATTTGATATTTTCACTAATTATGCAGTTCCAGATCACTTCTGACACCCTGTTAATGTAAGAAGTTTCAGTTGTTCAATTCTAAGTCTTAACAGCATCAATGAAAGTACTATAGTTGAAATTAACATTGCCAAAATGTTTAATCATTGAATAAACAGGTGTGCCATTACTATTTGTTTTCAATTAATTGCTTGCAAACTTGTTAATGACTATGATGTAAGAAGTTGCATTTTTTCAGTAGTATTTTCATTTTCAAATCACTTATAGATGCAATTCACATCCATCTACCTCTTTTTAAAATTTAAAATGAACATTAAAACAGTTAAATCAATATTTATCCACACATCTGATTCTGAAATTTTTTTAGCAGTTACATCAGTGATTCTGTAGTTTTCATTCAAAGCAAATTTTAATATCATACCTGATAGATATTTTTCTTGGTTCTCTGGGTGAAGAGCACCCGATTCCTTTAAATTGAAGCCAGATTCCCAGAACTGTGTCTGATCCCTTAAGGTTAAATGATTGAAGCCACTGCTCTCCGTCTGGAATCTGCTGTACTTCAAGTGCTTCGCACTGCTGCTTAAATGCTTTTGGACTAGATTAAAAACCGTCTCTCCATAGAGCAAATTATTTTGGAAGCAAACAGGTCCATGTGCTCAGTGACCTCAGTCAAGTCTTGTGGTTTCATCTTTTTTCTTTTCTTGGGTTGAGGTGAAGTACAAGTTTCCTTCAAGACTAAACATAAGGGATCAATAGACATTTAAACGATACAATATGTGCTTTGTGATTTGGTATTGTTATGGCCTTGGTGTCTTTCAGTGACTGTTTTGTCAAACCTTAAGTTCCTGTGGGTGTTTTTTGTAAGTTTATTGTTGCAAGCATGCAGTCTGGTGGGTCTCATTAGAAATGTTTACGTGACATCGTCAGCAAAGAGCAGCTTAGAGTGCCTAATTGGTCTCCCTCCAAATTTCAGTGAGCACTTGTGAGGTGTCAAAAAAAGATCTAATGAGAAGTACTTGGGATCTTGTGGCTGAATTTTTTTGTAATAAGACGCAGACTTTCAATAAACGCAGGAACAGTTGCAATCATAGTGCTTACAATGAAGCAGTACAGTGTGATATTTCTGAGTCGACATTAGAGACTAAGCCTTAAGAAACATTTTTTTTAATTCTGGAACAACATATAAAATCGGTGACTGGACTAAGTACATTCTGATGCTACATTTTCCCATATGGGTGAGATTAAAAATCCTCATCTATACAATTTGAGTCTTTGTTAGGGGAGTCCTTAGGAATTGTGTTTACCAGACCAGTCAACAATTTGTCAAGAATAGCCCACAAGAGTTGTCATGTCTGTCCAACAGTGTGAAATGCACCCCAGTTACTGACAGACAGTGGTGTTATATTTTGCAGTTGTGCAGTGCAGGTGTTTAAGAAACATTTCCTTTGCTGAAAAGGACCACGTTAGTACCCAGCCAATGTCCCAGAACTACATCTTGCTGCTTTTCCATTGCACCAGCGGCTGTGAATATGCTAGATGGTTCCAGGTGACAACTTCACTGGTAGCTGATTATTAACGAATAAGAATTCCACCATAAAAGCACTTTTCATCCCAAAGGATTGCAAAGCACTTTACACACAGATGTGTTCCCACTTCTGCCACCTCTGAAGTGTAGCCCCCACCAAGGTGATAAAAGGAAGCATTTAAGTGCCTGCAGCCTCAGAACACTGTAGATCAGGTGAGTAAACTACTCCACCAGTTAAATCAACAGGAACCTTTAGGTAGAGTAGATACCCAAACCTATTGTTATCTACGCTGCCCTCGGTCCCCATAATGACTAAGTATCCCATAATCCTGCCCCTCCTTCCATACCAGCGCATTGCGATTGAAAATTCTGGTCCAGAGGGAAGCCCAACAACAAAACCTTTAGCAGCCATGTCACCCTGCAACTCACACCTGGCAGCCCACTGAAGCTCAGCATTGTGTCAGCCTGGTCAGTACCTGAATAGGAGACCTCCTGGGAAAGCTAAGGTTGCTGCTGGAAGAGGTGTTAGTGGGCCAGTAGGTGGCGCTCACCCTGCGGTCTGTGTGGGTCTTAATGCCCCAGTATAGTGATGGGGACACTATACTAGAAAAAGGCGCCGTCCTTCGGATGAAACGTAAAACCAAGATCCTGACTCCCTGTGGTCATTTCTTGAAAAGAGTAGACGTGTAACCCTGGCGTCCTGGCCAAATTTCCCATTGGCCCTTACCAATCATGGCCTCCTAATGATCCCCATCTATGAATTGGCTTCATCATTCTGTTCTCCTCCCCACTGAGAGTT